TAAAAATCTATATTATGGTCTAAAATGTATTATGAAACATAATAATTACCTTGCAGCTTTCACTCCTCTGATCTCTGCGCTCGTAAAATCGGGATTTGATGCAAAATATGCTGTCATCATGAAAGCATCTATTTTCGGTAGATTGTCCGATTGTGCTTTGACAAAACCAGCTTCAGTCATCGTCCTAGATTCACTACAAATCTTAACTAAACTTCACTACAATCAGCACAAGAATACAGGTTTAAATTATTTATTTTTTTCACAAAAACTTGTAAAACAGTATGAGTTTCGACGCTGATGAATACAATGTCGTGTCAGATGACGTCACATTTCGTTCGACCAATGGTGGCGCGTTTTGGAAGTTTGAATTTCGCTCCCTTATTTTGCACTTTTTGAATATTTTTTTAGGGGTTTAAATAATAAGTAAATAAAAAAAAATCCTTTTCATTATAATATTACGATAATAAGTATTCGAGAAAAAAATATTTTAGGCCATTTCAAATTTTATGCATATTCCCTAATTAGGGAATATTCATGTTTTTCTTTTTTGTCTTAAATTAATAGTTTACTATTTTATAACGTAGAAAAAAATATTAATGGGTTTCAAAATACTCTAGATATTTTTAAAAATGAAATTTAAAACTTTTAAAAAATTTAAGCAGTTCAAACGCCGCCATTTTGCGCGCGCTTTGCGTGACGTCACATGACACGTCCAGTGGGTGTTTACCTTAGTTTTTACTATGGACTTTTCAGTTACTTCGTAATATTTACAGTTTTAATAACTTTAAAACCATGGAAGAAGTCAAAAAATTATCTTATAAGTATTGTATAGTACCGAAGTGCACAAATACTACTCGAAAAACACCCGACAAAGTGTTTTTTCGTATTTCAAGTGATGCGAAAATACGAAAACAGTGGTGTAAGGTGATGAGAAGGGATAATATATCTCCTAAATCGTGTTTATATTGTTGTGAAGATCATTTTAACGTAAGTGTACTTTATTTATATACTATATAATATATAGCTTATTGTGAATTAGTAAAAAGTAAGTTTTGCATTAGTTATTGAACATTAGAAGTTTAAAATTAACCTAACCTATAAGAAAAGTTCAGTACTCAGTTATAAAAACTAACTTTCTATAAAAACTATTCTTGTTGTGCTTTTACGAAATTTTAATGGTTATTGTTTTATTCCAGGTTAAGGAAGATACAGAAAATTATATTGAATACAATTTAATGAAAGAGCAAGGAGAAAAATGTACTCTACGGTTGAAGAAAGGAGTTTTGCCACATATATTTTTGTGTCAAAAACGGAGGATGCCATTACCAAAGGAGAGAATGGCTGTAGTTAAAATGCAAAGATTGACACTGGTCAATGAAGCCCTTTCATCAGAGATAGCTATCAAAAGTAGTGTTAGCGAACCTTCACAAAGAAGTGATCACGAAGTGAGTCCAAGTACTTCCCACACAAATGTCTGTGATCAACCAGGATGCAGTACTTCCCGTATTGGATGTGATGATCTTCAGGTAGAGCTTTCCACTTCTCATATTGAGAAGACATTGCATTGTGACAAAGCTGTGCAAGTTAATATTAAACCGAACTATAGAAGTAAAGGTGTCAATGTAAATATACCTACTAAAAAACAAAATGTAGCACTGTCACCATTTCCTTTTGTAACACAAAATATAGGAACTTCACCAGTAAAACTATCTGTTTTAAAAAGAAAATTGTTTACTGAAAACACAGCGGATACTATTTCTATATCATCTTATTTTTCTACGAGCTCTACTGATTATGAACCAAGTTATCAATCTGAGTCGAGCGAAGTTCTAAGTGATTCAGAGAAGGAGAAACAGTTTAAATATGAAATGTGTAGTATCATGCTAACTGCTATTGAAAAAGAGCCAAAAATGTTGTTAGGATTACCTAAACAATCATATCATTTAATAAAACTTTTAAGTGATAATATTCCGCTTCCTAGTAAACACATATTAATAACCCTCAAGAAAATTAAATTAAATGAGTCCTTTAGCATCTTGGCACTACAATTTGGATGTTCACAAAGTACTATTTGTAGAATATTTTCTAGAAGTATTTCTCTTATAGCAGCAAAACTTAAGGACTTGATTGTGTGGCCAGCATCATCAGATATTTACAATAATTTACCCATATCTTTTAGGCGTAGGTATGGGAATGTTGTTTCCATTATTGATTGCCTAGAAATTCAGATTGAAAAACCATCAAATGCCGTTCATCAATCACTTACTTGGTCACAGTATAAAAAATGTAACACCTTAAAGTATTTAATTTCATGTACACCTGATGGCTTGATCAATTTTATCTCTGATGGATATGGTGGTAGGGCTACTGATGTTATGATAGTACAAGATAGTAGTTACTTACAGGCTTTACCTCCTAATAAAGCAGTGATGGCTGACAGAGGTTTTAAAGACTTATCATGTTTGCTAGAAGCTAAAAGATGTACCCTTATACGACCACCTTCTGTATCAAAGTCTACCCCCAGTACTAAAAATGAAGTGAAACTATCAAAACGTATAGCAGCATTAAGAATACATGTTGAACGGGTAATAAATAGGTTAAGAGAGTTTCATATGTTACTGCCTCATGCTTGTGTAGACTATAATTTAATTCCTATCATAGATGATGTAATAATAGTAGCTTGTGGATTGGTAAATATGCAGGATGTTTTAATAAAAAAATGAATATAATATATTTACATTTGTTTTATTTTCATAGCATAAAAAAACAGATTAACAGAATTAGACAGAAATCAAATGCAGTACCCCTACAATAAACAAAAAAAATCTATCTAGTCATACATATTTAGTTTAGGAAAGATGGCTTTATTCCAAAAAATGTCGCATTTTTCTAACAAATTTTCACACAGTTGCTGGTCGTAGTTGACTTCTAAGATTGATATTTTTTTTGTTTTTTCAAAATCTTTATCAGCAACACAAAACAGTGCCTTTGCTTTATTAGAAAAATGCATCTGCAGTTGCACTTGTGCCATATATTTGGCAGTCACTTTATTTCCTGAACTGACATATCGTCCCATTGCTTTTTCTGATGTTGGGCATTTTATTTCTATACTATACACACTATTTTCACCATCTGGAGAAGCACCCATAATAGGATGTGTACTATTTAACTTTAATCCACATTTACTTATTTTTATTTTACAAATTTTTTCTACTTCCTTTAAAACCTGACTTTCCAACAATCTACCCCTTTCCATAGCCTCTGTGTCCCTCAATTTACTTGCTCCCAAAATGGTCTCCGTTAACGTTCCATCAAGAGTATTGCAATGTGCAGCATCATAAGCTTTTGAAGCTGTGATCCTTCCATACCTCAACTCATGCCACAATGGGCAGTCATTTTGTTCCAAAGTAGCTATTGCAGCTCCTTTGCATGCATCTGCAGTCATTATAAGTTTGCAATATTCTATAAAATCAAGAGGGTTTGTAGCTTTGCTTGTAGACAGAAGATGGTGTATTGACAATTTTTCCACAGTGCTTGGCGCTCTATAAAACTTCATCAAATGATTCTTTGTATCACCAACCAAAGTGCAATTATTTTTTACTACTGTGAGAAAGCTTTCAGTATTCAAAGATGTTGGCACAAGCTCATGTTTAGGTGTTTTATACATTTCTTTGGCTTTTATAAACTTCTTACTAGTACCAATTGATGATAATTTAGATTTTTTCCAATAACACTCAATGCTTGTTGTTGATGGATCTTCACTACGCCGATGTAGCCATGCTAAAAAAGCTATAGCATGCTTACATCCACCTAAAACAAAAGAAATGAGAAAACAAAAAAGTTATAGAAAAAATCAAGTTCCTAAGTGCAGGTCACTGAACCTAAACAAGTAAAAAATAATTACCTAAATGTGCAGCACAATCTTCACATTGAACAGAGAGAATAGTTTCTTCTGTTTCATTGCAAGTGCAAATAACAGCATAACATTTTTGTCGCACATTATGTTCAGGTGTAATCCGAGCCTTAACAACACATATGTCGCCATCTCGTTTTACTTGGACATATCCAACTGCTGAATCACCATAAGATTCTCGTGTAGACCTGAAATAGACAAGTACTTATAAACACTCAAACAAAACAGTCCACGTAAAGCAGGGTATCAATTTATAAACATTAAATCATTATATATTTATCTCAGATACACACAAAGTCAAAGTTATTATACTAGGGTGAACTTCAATAATAAAAAATTTATTTATAGACGTAAAATAAGAGTTTCAGAGTAATTTTAATGACAACTGGATATGTATAGGTTATGTTTTGGTGAACCTAATATATGTAAACTGCTGTGTGCATTTATGAATAAAAATCTATATTATGGTCTAAAATGTATTATGAAACATAATAATTACCTTGCAGCTTTCACTCCTCTGATCTCTGCGCTCGTAAAATCGGGATTTGATGCAAAATATGCTGTCATCATGAAAGCATCTATTTTCGGTAGATTGTCCGATTGTGCTTTGACAAAACCAGCTTCAGTCATCGTCCTAGATTCACTACAAATCTTAACTAAACTTCACTACAATCAGCACAAGAATACAGGTTTAAATTATTTATTTTTTTCACAAAAACTTGTAAAACAGTATGAGTTTCGACGCTGATGAATACAATGTCGTGTCAGATGACGTCACATTTCGTTCGACCAATGGTGGCGCGTTTTGGAAGTTTGAATTTCGCTCCCTTATTTTGCACTTTTTGAATATTTTTTTAGGGGTTTAAATAATAAGTAAATAAAAAAAAATCCTTTTCATTATAATATTACGATAATAAGTATTCGAGAAAAAAATATTTTAGGCCATTTCAAATTTTATGCATATTCCCTATTCAGTCAACCAATCAGATGACTTGACAAGAGTTTAAATTGATTTCAACATTGATCGGCCTTTCGGAAACCGGGTGTAAGTTTAAACGTTAATCCCCGCATATCTACATGGTGTATGAAAAACACAACCTAATATAACTCAAAATATCGGTACCAGATCAGCTATGTAGGCTCACATAGGTACATCAGCGACATATTCTATCCTGAGGAGTAAGTCCATGATGTCTTGAGCATCCATCCACCTCCAGGGCAGGGGCTCGCGGGGACAGGCTGTGGGGCTTCGACGGGACACCCCGTATAGCACTGATATAGCGCAGATGAAGCACACCACCGCGAAGAGTTGGAACAGGCACTTGAGTGGCTCCCTGGAATCATACACTGTGGAATATGAGGATGTTGTCAGGCAGGGAACTGGGGAAGGGATAGTATGATCAGGTTTTTGAAGTTCGAAAGGTAGTTTTTTCTGTAATTTTTGTGCACTGCCGAATAGACTGCATCTCATCATCAGCATATAAGTGCCCACTGCTGAGCAAAGGCCTCTTCTCACACGGAGAAGGTTAGAGCATTGATCACCACGCTTGCTCAATGCGGGTTGGCGATTTCAAACTTATAATTAGAAATTATAATGTGTGTCAGTGGTGTCTAAATAATCATAGAAAGTACATATAACTCGGAAAAAGTCACATTGGTACTTGCCAGGTTTCGAACCCACAACCTCATGCATGAGAATCGGGCTCCTTAACCTCCGGGCCACCACGACAATTTAATATATAAACAATAGACTGCATAGGTCATAACAAAACTGATGTCATATTTGACAATATGCACTTCTAATAAGTTTGTGATATAGGGGTAGATCATCAGATTTGGCTACTATTATAGAGAATACAATTTATTCTCTGCAACTCTAGAAGAATTCAATTTACTATTTATGGTAAGTTACATTTTATGATGTCATGAAATGAGATAAAAGATTAAGAGACTGATTGCATTCTCTGTTTTTTGGTAAGTTTGAAACCGCGTTTATCAGTCAGGACAGACCAACATCGATGTTGCAATATGTTTATGAGATCCAAGTGCAAGGCTAGACTGATTTTAGAATAATTAATGTAGTTTGGAAATGGTATATAATCATAAAATACATAAAAATTTTGGAGTCATCGCGTAAATACGTATTTCAAAAAGTCAAAAGTCAAAAAAGTTTAAAATATTTAAAAAAATACCTCTCTTTGCAAACGAACAAACGAAAAGTGTTAAATATTTTCCGGTTTCATAATTACAAATATGTAGGATTGTTACAAAAAATACTAATGCATATTTTTAAATAATTCATCTTTACTAAGGTAAGGAAGAGTCCTTATTTAGGAATTATGATAAGTATTGGGCAAAAATACAAAATGATAGCTAGCTATGCTATGCTAGCAAAATACAAATTAGAGGAGGAGCGGGATGGTAATGAAATAATATTAAGAGTTACGCACCAAAAGAATTTTCTAAGACTGCGATGCGGTACAACGGCGTTTCGTTTCTCACATTCAATACAAGGCACGTCCACCTGTGTCGCCACCGACTCCGTGTCTGAAATACATCATTTATTAATTAAATTATTATTAAATAAAGTTTATTACTACAAATGCTTCTAACTAGTTAACTACTTAATGTAAACTACGCTTAATTTATAATATAAATAAACAAATATTATTTTTATAATAAGGGGGCGTTCATAAAATACATGTGATGTTTAAAGAGGGGAGGGGGTCGAGTCAAATCTCGTCTATCTTACGTTGGAGAGGGACACGGCAAAAATCACGTGATTTTATTAAATTGTTAAATTAAATTAAAAATAAAAGTTCTCTTTTTAAATTTTTAATACCCTTATAATTAAAACTTTTTCAGCAATATTGATTTCTAGTCTTAACTAGTCGTAAATAAAAACACGAAGTTAATTTTCTTTTCTTTTTGCAGTAATAATCTATAGTGTTTAGTAAGAAACCCACATTTTGAAAAATCTGATGGGTATGGAGGGTTCAATAAAATCACACGACATGTCACTAAGGGGGAGGATGGTCTGAATATTCAAAAAAAACACCTCACGTAATTTATGAACACCCTCTAACAACGAAAAAAGTTCTGTCTATAAGAACGTTAAAAATTACTGCCTACGACATGAAATTACTTATCTATAATTTAAATGAAACTATTCTATTCCATCTTAATAACAACTAACTACATACATTATAATGTCATGTTTTTTTCCTTAAAACACACAAACCGATTAAGTAACACAAACCTCCACCAGAGGACGTCACAAACACTTAGCTTCCACAGATTACATAAAGTTATTTAAATGTGAAAACAAATGAAATGATCAATGGATATGTGAATGAGTAAATATAATACAGGATAATTTTAAAAACGCTGGATTTTTATTTTGCAATGAAAGAACTCATGACTATAATGCCTATTTTACTATGAAATGGAATATGTTTGATAATACTACAGGTGTCGTCAAACCCATTGCAAATTTAAACTATCCAGATATCACAGATCACATCCGAATTTGGTACTAGACTTGGTCAAAAATACATTATTTCGAATCTCCTATTTTCTAATAAATAATGAGATCATCATATAGCTTTTTTAGCATTCAATAAATAATTTTCCTATTTGTCGCAATCCCGTACTAAATTGTACGCCAAAATCTATATTCATGAGAACATTCACCAAAGTATAGGTGTAATAATATCATAATGATCTATCTGGCCACATACTAATTTTATATTTTATATTCTTATTTTAAAGAAAATAATGACTTTCTCACGTGTATTTATTGAGAAAATATATATCTCATTTATAGTCTCAAGTCTTTGTGTTGTCAAAATCCTGTTGTGATTCGAAACATAAGTAAGTCGTTATTTCTAATAAAATCACCATAATGTTACTAGTATTTTTAAAACCATCCTGTATATAATGTAATCTGTGACACAAATACCAATGGCAAAGCGTACCCGACTGGGTTTGCGTGTAGGCGCAACAATCTGGCGCTAGACTGGCCAGTCGATCTCCTTGCTTAGCACAAGCCACTTCCAACAAACTGATTTTCCTTTCCAAGCTCTTTATTATAGCTTGCAACACATTATTCTTCTCATTTCCCTCCTTCACAAACCGCTCAAGCACATCCAAATTACCTTCATAGTTCTCTATTTCAGCTTGCATCTCCGAAATAGCAGAATGGGACCTATTGATATCAATTTCTAACTTCTCCGTATAACGACTCATTTTCACACATTCAAGACATTGTAACTGATTATTATTATTATTTGAAACTACTTCTTCAGTCTGCGTACCCATTCCAGTTGATTCAACTTTGTCTGTATAGTCATAAGGTTTAGTTTCGTCTGTCTGGGTTCCAACAGTCATGTTAAAATCGAAGTTTTTGTCGTATGTTATGCTGTTGGAGCCTGTGTTGTTATGTTTGGACATGTTACAGAAGCTGTAACGTATTTCGTCAAATAACGACATGTTCGTACATCGTCCTTGGTCTTCTCTTAACGCATTTATGAACGATTCTTCGTCAAGGATACGGTTTTCTAGGAGTTAGAATTGAAAGCATAATGGTTATAACAATGACAGACAGAGACAATGAATAAAGATTATGACAATAATATACACGAAATCAACGTGAAATGAGATTTGTGACTTTTCATCTATGAAGCGCAAATGCGCAAATGAACATAGCTGTATTCCTATTTTGCGCAATTGTTGCGCAATTATTTCGAAAAGATGCCGCATGCTTACACTATCCATTTGTATGATCGATGAAAAGCTAGATTGAAATAAACATAGTAATACCTTACTACAATAACCAGTAGTAGTGTTAAACATCTTAGCCTATACGACATTTAGCTGCATTACGATAAAATACTGCACTGTAAAGTATAATCAGTAAGTAGTATATTTTTAAGTGAAATTCACTAACCTGATGAGAACCTAGTGTCAGCATTAAGACTGTCAAGTGCGGTTAACATTTGTTCCTCTGTGTAACTGATGTCGATGCTGCGGTCCAAACGTAGTTGTGTCTGATTCGACTTGTTCAGAACATCCTTCAGCTCCATTTCGAGAAGGACCTGGGAAGAAAGGGGTAATATTAGTTTCACCCGCTGCTTGGCTCTTACAGATTGTAGCGTGACGAAAATTGTAGTTATTAATCAGTGAAAGAATTTTGGTAAGCTGACATTATGACAAATTTTACCTGTGTATAATATTAGTATAGATTTAACTTTTTGCAACAAAATGTACAAGGGTTATCACCTCAGACATTCTTGCTAGTGGACCTTTAGGTAGTGTAAGAAGAACATAGTCACAGCAAAAGAGCAATAGATGGCTATCTACGGCTAATATAAATGTCTCGATTCTCTTGGTAAGTCCCTTTTCTAATACATTACTTCATATCTATATAAATTACCTTCTCCTTAATCATTTGTTGCACGAATTCATCCTGGTCCTGCAGCCTGGCAGCCAGGTCAGCATGTTCAGACTTCAATGTCTCGTTCTGCTCCAGCAGCGCTGACTGTCGCGCCGCGTACATCTCGTTTATACGGTGACAATCCGCTTTGGATTTTGCTAGTAGCTCTTGTAGGGTAAGTTTCTGTAAATGATTTATTTTATATATAAATGTCGTGCTTGAGTTGGCAAATACGAGAGAGCTTCTAATGGCATATACATATTAGTATTTAAGAATGAACACGACAGCCCATAAGTAAGTTATTCACAGAATCTGCCAAAAATAGCTTTAAAAATAAAAGTGTCATATTCACCTTCAAGCTGTGCCGTTTGTCTGACAGGTATAAATGAAAAGGATAAAATATGTATCTGATAAAAAACCAAAAGGCTAGTTGAGTTAGTTTGAACTTTCGAAAACGAAATGATTATATTGTATCTTTTAAATTTAATAATATTCATTTCTTAGTATTATTTAGTCTGTAATACTATAAAAATGTCTGTCGGTAAAGGTGTTGCTTAACGCAAATCTCGAGAACGACGGAAACGATTTTGCATTCATTTTTGTTGAAACAAATACATTTTAAAAATGTGTAAAGCAGAATCGCAATATCCTGAAGTACTCATTCATCATAGGAGCCCTTTAGTCGGAAACTCATATGAAGAAGGGGTGGACCGTTATTAATAGAATAACTCCTTTTTTGGGCAGCTGTGTAATAATAAGTGGTTAGTCTCTGACCTCATTCTCCAATGTATTGACTTGTTCCAGCATGGCCTTGGAGCGTCGTTTGATGGTGTCCAGTTCCCGGCGCGTCTCCTCCAGCGCGCGTTCGCTGCCACACAGCCGCTCGCTTGCTTCCTCATAGTCACGTCGAGCCTGCGACAGCGACGCGTTTTCCTCGCGCAACCTGTTGATACACATGATATGATTTTTTGACAAAGAATATTTTGAATGTTTAAAGTAATAGTTTATCTTCAGTTCAAGACATAGGAGCAAAAGTTTACCTAATACAATCTGCAATCTAGGAGTTATATTTTTTGAATTCGAGATTTGACAATTTAAGATATATGTAGGTACCTAAAGGACATCATCCATTTTGGTCCAAATGTCAAAATATAATAAGTATATTAATGCTACAGTTTTGGTGTCATATAAACAAATTCTAAGGCCGACGAGTTCTATCAGAATAAAACACTTTTTTTATTTGGTCGGCACTTTTACTTTTGGACCAAACTGTATGAAATGTGGATGATGTCCTTTACCTAGCTCAATCTTGAAATCCAAGTTGATAGCAACAATAAGAGCTCCTTCTGGAGCCCGCACTTAACTTAGCCAACCAACAACAAAATTTTTGTTAAACCTCTGTTATGGTAGGTATTAGCTTCAGAATAAATCACAATATATACACACAGTATATACACAGAATAAATACACAGAATAAAATATTAATGAAATTACTTACATGTTAAGATGTGTCCTCAGCGCATCCCTTTCAGCAGTGAGCGCTGCAAGGGCTTCCTCATGCTGTCTGTCCGTGAAGTCTAGTTGAGACCGCAGCTGGTGGGCCAGGTGAGCTTTCTCCCGGAGCTCACACTGCAGGTCTTCCAGCAACTGAGATCCTGAATGAGAAAAAAAATTAGTTCAGTTGGTTAGATCTTTAACTGTGTTTTATTTTGTTATTATGAACGCATAATATGTGTCAATACTTGATTTTTTTATGATACAATGAACTCTTTGCTTTCGCTTAGGCGCACTCTATCACCGGCTTAGTGACGCCTGTCAATCTATTACTTACTTGATATTTTATGTTTTAATATAATAAATCTAAATGTACTAGAATCGAGTGTTTTATTATTACACAAAATTTTCAGATATTCATCTTAATCTTATCTTAAATCTTAACCTTGTTCACCATGGTGCTAATATCTATGCTAATAATGTATCACATTACAAACATATTAATTTGAAACCATCATAACTAAAGGGCATTCACAAAAACATTTACTCATAAAATTTCCTTGTATTCATATCATAACACAACAAAGTAGAATAAAATATGAGTAATAAATTGAATATAATTTTCTAGACGTCACTAATACATATTGTTTAATTTCTAGTTATTCTTACCTGTAAATTAACTAAAACAGGGAAAATATAAACCACAAAGACCTAAATAGTATTCACAGTGAAAGAGGAACCTCCCTCTTTTTGTCAGTTTGTCTATTAAGACCGTTGAAAAACTCTTTAGTAAGCCAACTAATCAAAATCAAAAACACACATAAAAAACAAATGCCAAACCGTAATCATAAACCTGTGATCTAGGAAAATAACTCTTAACGCTTTTTGATAAAGGCGACATAATCGTCAATTTGCATTTCCTAGTTACGAATCAAGTAGTACAAATAAATCGTGAGGGAATGTGATAATAATGTTTAACACCTCTTTACAAAGACCATGAACATATCTAAAGGACTTGTCAAGAATATTTGATTAGGAAGAAATATTTTTATGCTATAATTGTTATTCTAAACATTAAACCGTAGATATATGTAAGTCAGTATGTTTACATGGTCTGTCTGTCTGAGTGTAAGAGAGAGAGAAAGAGAGAGACAGAGGCGGAGTGCTATCACGGTCTCCAGAATATCGGCGTGAAGCAACACTTATGTTGTGTTTCGCCGTGTGAGTTAGAGGTTACCGGAAACCAAATCCTACCCCCATTATAAATCCCCGAATCCGCTAACCTTAAATCCCTAATACCCCACAAACCTGGTAATGAATTTGTGTGGTAAAACTCCCTTTGGTATTCCGAGTGTCTACGGGCGACGGCAATTACCATCAGGTCTGGTCGCTTGCTGACCTATCCCATAAAGAAGTCATAAAGTTTCCGCTGTTCTGTATGTAGCCCTTAGTTCGTATAAATTACTTTCTATATCTATTCAACATAGCGGCTAGTCCCAATAAGTGAACTGTGTGACTAACCGGGAAAACACACTAGACAAAAAATGTTTTATTAACCAATTGAGAAAAGATTATTCTGGTGGGCATCTCATGGTTGCGTCATCATCTTTAAAATATTAGGTATAAAGTCGTTCGGTTCACTAGCTCTTTATTAGTTTCGTAATCAAATCGGACCCTTATACATTCATCATTTCTGTCTGACTGTGCGTAAGTGATACACTATTTGCGAAACTTTAAGATCGTAATGTTACATTAATGAAAGTTAGTGTAGATTTTTTATGGTTTAGACTTTCTTTCATGATGTAAAACGCAAGAAGCAAGAAGAATTCTAAGATTTACACACAAAAATAGACAAAAATACATTTTGAGGTTTTCGATACAATGCTGGCAATAAATTTTTCTTATTATTCGTCTATGGATGGGTCTTTGAGAAAGAGCCAATTCCAAAGATTCCCATGTAAAATAAAAATAGGAGTGTGATAAAACCAAAACAAACTTATGATGTGACATTATACGAGTTTCTACCGAAAATTGGTCCGAAAGCTATCTAGGAAGTAGTTTTATTCGTAAAGTTGAATTGACGTGCTGAGATTTTTTTTTTTTAAATGTGGCATGCTTCCTACAACTATGACAGTGTTTCCGATTAAAGTAGACAGGTATTTGTAGATTACTGAAGGCTCATTACCATAATTGGTTGCACAACGCATTAGTAAGAAGTAATTAAGCCCAAGAATGTTCTTTGGCTACATGGTTGGCCAGGGGCTACCGAGCTATGTGTCACAAGTTGGTATCCTGCACAGAACAACTCTTTGTATGATACACTTATTGTTGTTCCAAGGCTGTGTATGTGAACTTGTAAGTTTGTTAACGCCACCTTAACACAGGGGAAAAAATTTGATGTGTTACTTTGTTTAAAGGTACCTTATCAGGACCAAATTGTAAGACAATATTAATAGTAATGTAAAAAAAGCATATTTATGGTCGAATTGAGAACCATCCTTCTTTTTGGAAGTCGGTTAATAAGCTTACCATCTGTAGATATGCCGGAATCAGAATCCTGTGGAGCACCGCTCTTCAGGTTGAAACTGTAACAAAGTATAAAAAATAAATACTTTTCAAAAACAACAGAATCTGTAAACAGAAATATGTTTTTTGCTGTTATTTGTTTATCTTATTTTGCAATAGTATTTTCTCCTTTATCTTGGATAGTTATGACATGAAGTGAAGCCATAAGACAAGAGATAAGTAGCTGCAACTTCTAGGATTCCATACTTGCATTACCATCTGTTAGAAAATGCCTAAGCCATTAAGTTAGGTTGTTTACAAATTTTTGTATTTGTACATACATAGATTGGATTTTTTCTTACTGTTTATGACATAAAACCTACGACTAATACAGTGCCATTATACAGAAACCAGTTCATAGCATAAAAAATAAAGATCACTGATCCAACCATACAAACATGAGCAGTCAACATGGCCGAAATAACAAGAATCTTATCTTAATATCTGTAACAGATGTGACCTATTTGATAATTTTAGCAAAACAAACATTGCAACGCTTAGCACAGGCTACTAATATATTGTTACAGTAATACATATTGTTATCAAACACTTCACATAAATGTGTTCTATTTTATTTCACTTCTGTGTCATTGTTACAAGGAAATGTTATTGATAACTGTTGGTGAAGTAGGTATAGTAGGTAGTGTTATTATAGGCATTTATCATGAATGTAATGTGCAAAGCTCTGAAATTGTACAAGACTGATATATGGGCACATTCCATTGCGTAGATTAAGTATAGAAAAGTTGACTTGATACCAACAATTCTTTCAACTTTATCGGATACACTGATTTATGTAGTTATTATGAACACATCTTTTTAAATTTATATACTTAAGATAGATTTTGTAGTCCTGAAACTTTTGGAAAAAAATATAGATCAATTGTATAGTGTATGTAATTAAATTGTGAAGTGCCCGGTTCAGTGGATGCCATTATGACTACCAAAAAAGTAGAATTGTGATTTATAGTCAATCTATTTCGAAAATTATAATTGGACCTTTCTTACCTTTCATCCAAGTCAGCTTTAGACTTCTGGTTTTCAGTGTACTTTTGTAGGGTTTTGGCTAACATTGATACATCAATTTCTGGATTTTCATCATCAGGATCTAGTAAAGATTTTAAAAAGCTAAATTCAGCCCTGTGAACAAACCAAACATGGAGTAGGTAATTTAAAAAAAGGAAAATGATGGGAGCTTTTGATACGGGATCTGTTTTAAAGGATTGTTTTATCATTCATCATTCCTGAAGAACAGTAAATAAGTAGTTTCCAACACATGGCCTATTATATGAATACCAAAGTTAAGATTCTTATTTGACTATAGTTAATTATTGAATTGATTCCCCAATAAAGTACTAAAGTAAACTGCAAAATTTATATTCTTACAACATGTAGGGTATTGCAGGAAGCGCACACGCGGAGCTATTTTCGAACGCAAACAGTTGACCTTTCATCGCGTAAACAAAATCAGTTTACGCTGCAAACAATAACAATAAAACTTACTTGTTAGTTTTTACGAAAGGTGCGAATTTGTCCATCAAACTGTCAACACGAAGCGTGCTCGCGCTCTCGGCGCCACAATAATGAAATATTTGAAGCGCCGTCACGTAATACTCTGGAAATGGGACTATAATTAGTAAATATTTCTCACAGATATTATCCTTAGGTTCGTACCAACGCGTTGTTATAATTATAAACTGATTTACCGTCCGCACTCATTTCAGATCTATCCAAATCCATTGTGTCGTTAGTTTTTAAAAACGTTAATATAGTAATATAGGTATTGTTAATTATTAATTGTAAATGAATTAAACCACGCACGAGCGTTAACGGTCAAATGTTTGTTTTTCATTAGCTAAATAACTCGTTACGCTAGAGCGCAGTACAAAAATAGTTTCCAATAAAACCGTTTAACGTTTAAAGTGGTGCACCATTTACCCCAGATTTCAAATTCTATCGACATCGATAAAAGAGAACGTCAAAATATTGTGACAATTTCCTGGGAGATATTACGAAATTAACATTAATTATTAATTTATTATATATTTAAAGTAGATTTTCAAAAAATATGTAAAATCTTAATCGGCACCATCGGCTCCATCCACAAGTTGTGTATTAGAAATCGCATGTAGTGATAAGACCGCCCATTGTAAGACTAAATAAATAACCTAATAGAATACTTTTTTTAAATATCTGTATCTTAATCACAAAATTAAATGACCTTCCCTTTTAAATATCAGTTAGTAATTAAAACAAAAGCAATATATAAAACTATTTGGTTCTAAAATACAAACCATCATAATATTTGTAGTAAAAAAAACTCATAGCATAGTTTCATGGTGAGAAACCAGTTTATTATTTAAATTGTCTATTTGCGTTTTATGTGTTTAATCGATGGGAACACCACATGGAAAAAAAATAAGCACATCCCTATTCAAATCTCCTGTCAAAGTCAAATATCATATTATGTTCGGATACAATTCGCAAATGACATTATTCCCAGTGGAAAAAGGTTTTGTACAAAAATCAAACAAAAATACATTATAAATTAGAATGTGATACAGTAACGGTCCAAAAATGTGTTTTGGGGCAGTTTTTTAATTTATCGGAAATGAATGGAACTTAGTTACATCGTGTCCTGCTTAAACCTGTTTTCGAATTTCTGTGGATACGTTAACAGATGAGTAACAAAAAAAATATGCTGACTTTTGGAACATTCTGGCCCTAAATCACTCATCCATGTGAATATGAGCAACTCTTCAGCACACCATATAAATATTATACTCTCAGAGAGCGCATAAGGTCTTCATATAGCTAGAAAGAAAAGGGGCTAAACAAGGTTACAAATATGATGCTGGCTACTAAGCGCTCTCAGCAGGTAGGTATCGCTAGGTTTGCAAGATTTGAATACTTAAAATCATACAGTGTAAACCCAAGACATTCACCGTTGTGTGCAGTGGCGGATTTACCAATAGGCCAAGTATGCCAGTGCCTAGGGCGGCAGATTTAGAGGGAGACAAATTTAGCAAATTTTTTTACACAATCTATTCCGATACATTTAAGTTAAGGATTAATAAACGCACTAAAATATATATACTTTGGTCCTCAGGTGATTATGAATTTTAAAATATTCAAATAGCGTTTCAATTAAAATAAAATAAAAAAAAAACTCGCAACACAATATCTTCGGAGCTTAGCACGAACACCATCTCTCCACAACTTTGTGTATATATATGTTGTTTTATTACAAAGCCTTGGTCTTTTTGTTTACCTTTAAGTAGTTCTTAGATAATTAAACAGAGAAAATAATAAAAATCTTTAAATACAGGGTGTAAAAAGACACTTAACGAAGCCGAAAGCCACGTATTCTACCCATTATTTGGATCATTTTTTTCTTTATGACTGAAGATAACTGGGACTCCACGAGTTCTCGAGATATTGAAGGTCAAAGATGCATTTTTATTTTTAATTTTCGAAAGTCGTGTTAGTTACACCACTTCATCATCATCATCATATCAGCCACAGGACGTCCACTGCTGAACATAGGCCTCCCCCATTGACTTCCAGATAGGCCGGTTGGAAGCGACCTGCATCCAGCGGCTTCCTGCGACCTTAATCAGGTCGTCTGTCCACCTTGCGGGTGGCCGTCCCACGCTGCGCTTGCCGGTACGTGGCCTCCACTCGAGAACCTTTCTGCCCCAGCGGCCGTCGGTTCTACGCGCTATGTGCCCTGCCCATTGCCACTTCAACTTACTAATCCGCTGGGCTATGTCGGAAACCTTTGTTCGTTTGCGGACATCCTCGTTTTTTATACGGTCTCGCAAAGAAACTCCGAGCATAGCCCTCTCCATAGCGCGCTGAGCGACCTTGAGCTTCTTTATAAGGCCCACAGTAAGAGACCACGTTTCAGTTCCATAGGTCATCGCTGGTAACACACATTGATTATAGACTTTCGTCTTAAGGCACTGAGGTAAGTTGGACGAGAAGATGTTGCGTAGTTTCCCGAACGCTGCCCATCCAAGTTGGATTCGACGATTGACCTCCTTCTCGAAATTGGACCTACCTAGCTGGATCACTTGTCCCAGGTATACATATTCGTCAACAATTTCGAGGTTAGAACTCCCAACTGATATCGGATAGGGCGTGACATGGGCGTTTGCCATGAATTTCGTCTTGTCCATGTTCATTCGGAGCCCTACCTGTTGAGAAACTCTACAGAGGTCATCGAGCATTGTGCTCAGATCCTCCAGCGATTCTGCCATGACTACAATGTCGTCGGCAAACCGGAGGTGAGTGATGTACTCGCCGTTGATGTTGATGCCAGATCCTTTCCATTCCAAGAGCTTGAAAGCGTCTTCCAATGCAGCGGTAAACAGTTTCGGAGATATGACGTCTCCTTGCCTTACACCTCGCTGCAGAGGAATATTCTTAGTGCTCTGGTTTTGTACTTGGACCGACATAGTGGCGTTTGTGTATAAGCACTTCAAAACCTCGATGTACCGAAAGTCAATATGGCACCGCTGGAGAGATCTTAACACAGCCCAAGTCTCGATCGAATCAAAAGCCTTCTCATAGTCCACAAACGCCAAGCATAGTGGCAAGTTATACTCCTCGGTCTTCTGTATAACTTGCCGCAGCGTATGGATGTGGTCTATGGTACTATAGCCTTTCCGGAAACCGGCTTGTTCGGGAGGCTGGAAGTCATCGAACCTACGTGTGAGACGATTTGTGATGACCCTCGAGAATAACTTGTAGACATGGCTCAGAAGTGAGATGGGTCTATAATTTACACCACTTATAACTCAAGAACGGCTGAACCGATTTAGCTGAAAATTGGTAGGGAGGTAGTTCGAGAGTTAGGGTAGGTAGAGTATTGTAGGTAGAGTGGGGTAGGTAGAGTAGGGTAGGTAGAGTAGGGTAGGTAGGGTAGGTAGAGTAGGGTAGGAAGAGTAGGGTAGGTAGAGAAGGGTAGGTAGAGAAGGGTAGGTAGAGTAGGGTATGTAGGGTAAGTAGAGTAGGGGTAGGTAGGGTAGGTAGAGTAGGGTAGGTAGTCAAATGACGGAAGCGACGCCGCGGGTAAGAGCTAGTATAATATAATATAAAATATAAAAAATATTAATATTACCATAATTTCAATTTAAATTTGTAACTTTTTTCCTCATTATAAAAATGATATTTAGCGTGTTATTTGTTGCAACATTTAAATACATATTTCTTTTCTACTAGGTAGGTATATCTCTCTCATTATCTTATTTCTATCTCAGTTTAGTATATTATATACTAGTCTGTGTGCGCAACGTCGGTGCGATGCACATGCAACCTTTGCTCATTAATAGGAATCTCGTTGACTCATAATTTTTAGATTATTTAGAGACTGACCCTGCTGGAGTATAGATGTAATGTAAATTTCATAAATAACCCGATAGCCTTTTTCGATAAATGGACTATCCAACGAAAATAGAATTGTTCAATACGAACAAGTACTTAGTTCCGGAAGTAGCGCCTTCAAACAGTTTGAGCTGTATTAGGTATAAGTCATAGACAATTTATAATCTGGTAACACTTAAGAGATACGAAGAAAAAAAATCCAAAATCGAAACGAATGTGTCTTTATTTCTATACAACATTTAAAAAAGTTTTGACTAGATTAAAAAAATATAATAATAACGTTTAATAATAAGTTTCAAACCATTGACAACCAACCTCCACTTTGACAAATTCATTTAATAGATTTTAACTACATACAGAGTTGTTACAAAGTCGAAAATGTAGTGACTATACCCCAATAATTGGGTACAATGCTAAAAACCCTAGAACTTCATCGCTCTCTTATGACGTTCAATATTTCCCTGAGTCCACTATTTACTTTAAGCGTAACTAATTTAGATTCAACCATTAAGAAGTCGCTTAACTCGATCTGTAACAAAAAAAAAAAAACATAAGAAATGCAGAATACAAAAAAATTGGTAGGTAAGTATATGTTACAAATCAATTAAAATATACTTTAAAAACTAATAATAAAATATAATTAGAGTAAAATTTCAACACGATGGCGTCCATAAATTACCTGACATGAGGGGGGGAGGTGGTCGAGTCAATTTTTTGCGCGGTTTAACCCGCTCCTCTGCTCCTACATATAGTACTTAGTGTGATGTTTTATATACCTAGCCTATATAGCCTTCTTCGAGAAATGGACTAACAAGAAAAAAAAAAAAAGAATTGTTCAATTTGAACCAGCAGTTCCGGAGACTAGCGCGTTCAAACAAACAAACAAACGCTTCAGCTTTATAATATTAGTGTAGATATACGCACCCCATCGGGAGGATCATTGTCTCTGGGTGGAAATCGTCCGTACATCCGTTCACAGATTGCACAAAGACCACACCACGTCCGATATTTTATGGTGTTTTCATCAGACTGAAACAAAGTTAATACTTTATCAGAACGCCTTATATTCCCAAAGGGGGGCATGTAACGGTGCTATGTAACGGTATATGGTGCTATATATATACTTAATATTAGGTACCTAATACTTTTATTGAAATGTCAAAACTTACACTTTCCTAATTTTATTTTAAATTGCAACATTATGACGTTATACTTATTAGTTTTAGGTCAAATATCATAACTTCTTGATGAAAAATTAGCTTTAATGTATCTAAAGTTAAGTACAATATGAAATTAATTTAAGAAAGTACGATTATAGGTATTTCATTGTATTGAAAAGTATAAAAAAAATATTTTTGACCTACGAAACTGTGCAATTAAAGGTCAATTTCCCTTACAACAGCATTACTTTCCTCACCTCTGCATCTCCAGCTTCGGTGCTGATGAGAGGCTTCTTGTACCATTTATCGACGAGGGTGACTTTGATATCGTCCGGAATGTTTTCCTCTTCTTCGTAGTTGTTCCAGTCCATGATGGACCCGAAGCTGCTCGCCTGTGCCGCCGTCAGGCTACCCCCCATCATCATTATTAGACCTTCTTCTATATTCTGAAAGTTGGTATCATATCTATGTAAATATAAGTACCTACCTAATTAAGTATTCAAAATATACTTATTTATTATTTTTCTATTAGGGCTTATAGTTTTTTTAATCAAAATCTCTATATTATAGGTAGGTATTTATAACTGTGTATAGGTACGTACGTGTTATGATTTATCATGAGTTTGTCACCCTGTATTTTGTAAAAAAAAAACGTACCGGTCACCCATTTAAAAAGTAACCTTAGCGTTTTATCATTAGAGTTGAAATCACAATAAATATTTAGTATGATATACGAAAAAAATCACCAAGCTTTACCTTTATTGGCATCCTATATCCATGTTCCCTGAACTTCCTCAGCACTGTCAGGTACAACAGCTGCTTCGACTTCTTCAACGTCACGTAACGCGCTGCGTAATTCATTGGTGTTAGATCTGTAAATAATTATATTGATGTTGTGTGTTTTGTTCGCACATGCATTGCCTGAGTACCTAATACCTAAATTTTAAATGTTATCCACCTTCTGCTCAGCTACATAGGTGGATAACATTTAAGTCATCAAAATTAAGTAAAGGGAGGTATATTATTATGTACATATATCTTTTAAATAATAACTATGTATAGTCAGAATTTTAATTCGATTCCAGATTTGACATTAACCACTGTCATTTTGTGAAATAATGATAGGTACCACGTATAACAGTGTAGTGATGAACACAAAAATCGCTAAACTATTCGTGAATCAGTTACAGAAAGGCATTCAAAAAATTACGACTACCGAATGGTCTAAATGCGTATCCCATGTTGTCAAACAAGAGGAAAAAATGAGTAAGCTAGATATGTTAATTGACAATAAATATATACAGACACAATTCATAATAAATGTAACAGAAAGTAACAGCGATAGAGATAGAGATGACGACGATAATTTATATAATAAATTATTACAATAAAAGATCACATTTTTTATTAATGTCACACACAATTATAAAAGAAAAGTATCAGATCGTTAATTAATTGTCACAGCTAAATTATCAGTTCAGAAATATTTAATTTCCTGATAAATTTAGTTTACGAGAGTAAATTTAAAAATGAGGGTAATCGATTCGGAAACATTCGATTTCCATATCGAATAATTTCGCAACGTCACTATTTAGTAGTTGTCATAACGTTGCAACACTCAAATTGTCAAATCAGGAATCTAATTAAAATTCCGAGTATAGGTATTGTAAGAAATTGTAATGTTTTGAAAATAACGACCTAAAAGCGGCTGCGCGACATCTGTCGTCACTGCCCATGAATAAGAGTCCGTTGTGACTTTAAACTAGTAGAACGTTTCTCAGTTAATTCACGCGAATAGATAAGTCATTATTTTCAGTAAATTTAAATAAAGGTAATTATTTTTATATGTAAATATAAGAATAATGTACCTTTAGCTTTTATTAAACTTGCAACACACATAGCACCCAATGGTTCTCCTCACGTACAGGAGCTACAACTTATTTTCGAATCATTAAGTTTCGAGTTTTTAGTCAGTAAGAATCTGACACTCCTTGTCGCCTTACCCAGGGGTCTCACTTGATAATTTTCCCCTACAAAAATACTTTCGAGCACTAGATAGCTAGTTACTCACCTTCCAAAGCATTAGTGTCAATCGGTAAGGAAAACTGTGCATTCTTGCGTGAGAACACTCTTGGTATGTGAAGCCAATCGCCGAGGCTGACTGCCGGCACTTTCAGTTCCTTCAGCAGCGCCTGCATTTCCTGCCCGTACGCCCGGTCCGGACGGGTGCGCATCGCTTCTTCTAATACGTAGCGACGCTGGAAAACATTATTATATAAAGTTTAAAGTCTTGAATTTCTGTATGCCCTTATCTAAAAGTAATAGGAAACATTGTTTCTTTACATCAACAACCTGTGAGAGGTTACTACTTGGCTGCTGCACAACTTGTGGCGGGAGTCTCGCACGGGGCAACATTTTGTGTAAACTATAAATCATGTTATTTCAGGTCTGGGTATGTGAATATCATATTTGTAAACGCACCCACGTCAGAGTAGAAAATCCTAGTGTGGGGCAACATTTAAAAAATATTTAATATAGGTATCTAATATAGGTATATCACAGACCACTGAATAGCAATCCAGTCTTTATCCAATTTAATCCCTTAATCGACTATTACAACAGCCGGTAATAATAAGGAATAAGTATAATAAATTGTATTCCACTCTAACTCCCTACATTATCATAGCTAAGGTCCAAAAAATGGGATTGGTGATACCTTCGTATTGAACTCTGTTTCAATAGCTTCTTCATCGACCTCGCGGTGTAAGAACTTCAGCATATCATCATCAAGGAAGGAGTCGGACTTCTTGGCCACCACGAGGGGTTTGATGACTGGCAACACGATGACGTCATCCTCTTCAGCTGGAGCTATGGATCCACGGGAACTCGGGTTTTGCGAATCCGTACCTATGCCTGCAATCTGCAGAGTTCAGTTCATTGTTTATTTTATTAAAGTCGTGATAACGGAATGATCTGATACATATGCTATTGTGTAGGTTAATATATACATATAGATAGTTTAATAATTGTTTGAGACTGAAATGAAATACCTACTTAAGGTAAGAAGTCTTATTTACAAAAACGTTGGACCTTATCACTACATAGTACAAACTTATAACTAAAACAAAGTCGCTTTCTCTGTCTCTATGTACTTATGTTTAAATATTTAAAACTACGCATAGAATTTTGATGCCATTCTTTTATTGGAGATACCTAGTGACAGAAGAGGAAGGTTTATATGGTGGAGAAATGAGTACAGAAGAAAAATCAATAAGAGAAGTCGGAATAGCACCAATATAACACCAACATAGCACAAAAAAAAGGAGAAATTAGAAAGAAAAGTCAAGAAAGGTCAAGTGGGAAGCCGGGGCGAGTAGCTAGTATATATAGTTATTTATAGTACCTACCAAGGTATTACGCAAGTAAAGGTCAAGGTCGTCTTGCTCGGGAATACGTCAAATACCTACTTTAGATACGAAAGATCACTACTGATTATATTATGATGCAATAAGCGTAAAGTTATTACTTGTGTCTCGGGATCCTGTTGCGCCTGAGCTGCAAGGCCCGCAGAGGTCAGTCGGTCGCTTCCACCACCCTGACGACCCTTCTTTCTCCTCTTACCTCGCCTGCGCCCCTCGCCACTACCTAAGTACAGAAGATCAATACAAAAATCATACATCATCAGCATGTAAGTGCTTACTGCTAAGCAAAGGCCTCTCGCACACGGAGAAGGTTTGAGCCTAACCACGCTTGCTCAAGGCGGATTAGCATCAGGCTTATAAGAAGAAATTAAAAGTCCAGGTTTCTTCAAGATGCTTTCCTTCACCGTAAGCACATAAAAAACTCAGAAAACCTCATTGGTAGGCACTTGCCAGGTTTAAGTCACTCGCTTCTCATGCATGTGGGCGCGGTTCCGAAACGTAGCAAGTACCAATGTGACTTCCTGATGTTTATATGCTGTGCTATGCTAGTCTAACATTTGTATTTACATTTTATAACTACATACCTCCTTCTTCTCCATTAGAAGCAGCCTCGTTCGCTTCGTTACTTTCTTTCTCAGTCTTGGATCGCTGAGACGGAGGCTGCTCGATTTTATTGTTTTTGCTCTTCGCTGGCTTGCCTATATTTAAAGCCTTCAGTTGATTCTGAAACAAAAAAGTAAGTGGTTATTAGACTTAATATTAGTGTTACCTACACTGTTCTCACATAATAGAACCGACTAAATGATGTAGCAAGGGAATGAATTGTGAAACTGATGGAAAAAGAGTAACCATAGATTTTCTTGCTCGTTCTTCCCTATATAAATATATTATGATATAAATCTATACTTTGGAACGAGAAAAATAATTGGCTTCACTAGAAGATAGACCGACAGATTGACACACAAGAAGATGAACTTTTTTAGGTATACTTATTATGATTTTTATTATAACTTTCGTGAGACATCCTAAATTATTTATTGTTTCCGGCTTACTCACGTAGCAGCTAGCACATCAGCAACGCGACAGTCGCCGAGTCGCGTGTCGCGGAATGCTGCTCATGAATATGGGCCTCTAGCATGGCTTGAAACTAGTCGAGTATCTCGTCAAATTATTACGTGAATAGGCCGAAAACATAATAAATAATACTTATTATGACTTTAAATATAGAAGTGATTTCAGTTATAAGAGCATCGTGTCAATGTAACTATATATACTTAGGTTCAATTCATGTAAGGCTAAGGTTACCTCTAGTTTTTTAAAAAACTCATCAGTATTGTGCGTCAACGACTTGTCGCCGTTGACTAATTTTCTCGTTAATTTAACACTTGGCAGCTTCATGCGTTTCCTCTGGCCAGTCGTGCCCCACGCGGTCATAGATAAAACTATGTTGGAGGCGCCTCTTTTCCTGCTCTTTGGAGCGTAGCTAATGACTATTCTAGTGAGGTGCATCAGCCCACAATCACAAGTCCCAGGCTTCACTATAGCCGGAAGCTTTGGCGCGTTTCGTCGCACTCGTCGAGTTTTCAAAGTCGCTAAAGTATCACCAGTCACAAAGAAACTCTTTTCTTTCGATTTTTTATCTTTCGCTGCGTCTTTATGCTTGCTTTTTATTGGTAACAGTTTTGTTTTCGATATCAGAAATGGTAACATGTTGAAATTGCGGCGCAGTTAATTGGTATGCTCCACAGGACGACTAATCCGTGCAAATTGGCGTATCAGACTATAACGTCAGCGAATGTATCGATCTTTGTTTATCAATCGTGGAATGATGTTTGGAGTAACGCTCTAGTAACTCTTGGACAAGCTTGAGGGGAAAGTTTCCGCGTGATAAGAGCTCGGAGCCTGGCGCTACCATAATTGATAGCGATAGTGACGCAATTTAAAAAGTAAAGTGGAATTTAAATCGTTTAAATATCGATATGAGATTTAGATATGGTACAGTACCTGGTTAAAAGTAGACCATGTTACGGCCCTGTTTTTATGATCGTTAAAGTACTTATTCGCTCGTAAAAGTTTTATTAAGTGATGTCAGGTGGAGCCGTTACACGTCGCCCACCTACACTACCTACCTACATACATGAATCAACCTTAAATTAAAACTAAGTGTTGAAAAATCCATTAAGTAACTCCAATCAGATTATGGTGAGATGGACTTGTGTTCCATAACAGTTAGTTCTGCATACAATTTTACATTCGATCCTAGATAAGATTAAGTACTGACTTAATGTGTCTAATTACCTACTTAATATTTTTTGATAGAGCAGGCTTTTTCTGTACCTATCTTCCTAGTATTTACAGTAATAAGAATAAAGAAAATGATGACAAGTGCATTTAATAAGTTAGTAAGTAGTCCTAAGACTACTAACTTATGACTAAGTATAAGAAAAGAAATAGCGTATCGAAAAAGTTCTAGGTACCTTTTTTAAAATCCTGACGCTCTGAAGTTCCTTCACTGGCACAGTTCTCCTGCTCAGCACTAAAGGAGAGGCGAGAGGAGGTAGCTGTTCATTCTGCCCCATCAGGAGACGATTGTGGGTGGCATCAGACAGGTTCAGCGAGGGTAAGGTCGACCTGTCATTTGTAGGACTCGTGTTTGGGCCTCCCGTCACGTCAGAGGTCGCGTAACCGTGGTAGTAAATGGTTTCCTGGGCAAAAACGTTGGTGTTATATTCTTATGATATATTGGTACAATAGGAACCGGCAAGGGTTGCTCTCAACATTCTGAAATAAAGTGTAAGTCTATCTACCTGACTGTGACTTCGCCTCAGGTCCAGTACGATTGTAGTTCTTTGATGAGGCTGGTCAGGTGTCAGACACCGACGAGATCCCCTGGATTTGCCGCTGGCGAGCGTCGGAGCCGGTGTAAGTGGTCTTGAGTCTGTTTCGGCGTACCTGGGAGACGAGAAAAATGGCAAATGAACAAGAAATCATTGAGGATAATCACAGGCCGGTGCAGCTAGATGATTTATTTAAGAAATTTAGAAGTATTGAAATAGAGATTCTGGAGTTAGATATCTCCCTAAGCATGACCTTTCCTCTAAAACCAGCCCGTTTCGTCCGCTTCTGGACATAGATTTTTCTAATTGCACATTAATTATCGATTAATTCACACATTCGATTTTCAAATGTAGGTATACGCATCCAACACTGTCCGCCACCTTGCGAATATCGTCACTCTATTTAGTTGGAGCACGCCCTTCACTACGTTATGCACCTACTCAACGCTAATTTCAAATTTAAGTTAAAAATCGCCAATCCGCCTTGAGCAAGCAGGGCAATTAATGCTAAAACCTCCGCATCAGAAGAGGCCTTTGCTCAGCAGTGGGCACTACCAGGCTAATGATATGACATGACGATGATAATAAAATATTCCGATTCTGAGCGTTAGGTATACCTACTAGTAGATAAACACGTAAAAAAACATTATTAATCAGTTACAAACCACGACTTGATCTATTCACAAATAGTTCGTGCCGATACGAATGAAAGATGGCTTCCCTATCATAATAGACACTACATTTTCTTGTTTACAATAAATACACAGTGAAACGTTTGCAAAGTGCACTCGTTGTCCTTTATACCTACCTACTAGAAAATAACGAATTTACTTAAGTTCAATCTTGATTATTTTAAAAGGTAAGTAAGTAAGTAGATACCTATTTATATATGATTTTTATGGAATATTTTCGAAGCAGTACCTAAATGTAAGTGCGGGAGAGTGAGAGCCAAGCTTCCGCACGAATAAATTGGCTAGTCCGGAGTGATACCGAGTCCAGAAAACTGGTGTGATACAACCACAGCGTTGTGTTTCGCCCTATCAGTGAGGATACCGGAGGCCTAGTCCATCCCGTCCCCCCATCCCTCTACAATTCCTAAATCTCCAAAACCCTAATTCTCAAAAGCCCGGCAATGCACTCGTAACTCCTTTGGTGTTGCAGATGACTCTAGGCGGTGCCAACCTTGCTGTGGTACCTAAGCAAGGTACCACAAACATAAAAATATATATAGGTATAGCAATCTAATCTAATACTAACATAAAAATCTTTGACACAATAAAATAATAAAAACTAAGAACGGACCTCCTAAACATGTCTTCAGTAAAAATATCATGTGGTGTTCTGTTCTTATCTTTCTCACCGCCGCCGCCATCTTGGAATTTTGACAGATCTTCTTGAAAATAATGTCCTTTGCCTTCTATCTGTAAAAAAACACAAACATGTTGCGTAAGTATAGCACTTGGCACTTTATTAGTTACCAGCAAGGAAATGTAGTTATGGAGTGGTTGGTCACTGTGGTGTCAATTCGAATAACGAATCTAGACTGTAGACTTTACTCAGGCTTTTGATGTAACAAAATATATAGATATAAGATCTACGTAACATAGCCCCTTTTTATTGGGAAAATTTGGGCTTTCTGCATTTCCCTTTTGCTAAAAAGTGGTATATATCTACCATTATAAATTGATGTCACCTAATATCATACTCAAAACCCAGGTGTACCTACCTATCTAATGTTGATAAGGTGCTAAATAATACCTAAGCAACATTATAGATCCTGTTGGGGGTGCAGGCAAGCCAGGCAAAGAATCAAAATGGGGCGCTTTAATCCAGTAGATAAGTGTCTAACACTCTAAGTATATACCTACCTAATACTAGCGCTGCGATGAGCCAAAAGTATAATGATTTTTAATAAAAAACAAAATACTTTATTTACCCAATGATCTTTAGCTTTTTTGACGACATCCCTAGCTTCCGTATCAGCAGGATGGTTGCAGAGGACGGAGCACGCAAGTGGGAATGGGTTGTAAAGACCGGCGTACGGCCGCAGCATGAATGGCGCGGGAGACACGTCGCATTGCAACTGTACTGTGCTCTGAAACATCATCAATTTATTTTTAAACACTTATTAGATAATTGTCTGCTGGTACTTAGGAGGATAGACTTACGTGTGTTGCTATAGATAAAGTTACGTGTAAAAGCCTCCCGAACAATTTCCATCTCGGTGCCCAGTCTGTCTAAAGTACCTACCTACCTACTATGCAGGAGATATTATAATGTTTACGTAAGTGTATAGGTATAGGTACCTAAGTGCATGCACAAACACAGTTGCACTTTAAATCCGATGGGGACGACCGACAGACATTACAGGAAGGAGGTCAGGCGCAAGACTACCGGCTTAACATGCTTTCCGAGTCACAGTCACACAGGGGCAAAACACCGCCGATCTCATGACAGCGACACGTTGCAGAGTCACCCTGCCACCGCACGGACCGTGCAGAGATAGCTAGTGTAAGTACATATCTACTTTTAAAAGGTGAATAAAATTTGAGGTGTGAATAGATAATAGGAAAATTCGCTAACAGCTTATTCACCCCGTTTTACGGTACCTATGCCGACGAAATCAGTTTATTTGCCAAAGGCTAGAAAGGTCAGAAGGACGTCAAACACCTACAGCGTTGTGTTTCGCCGTGTGAGTGAGATTACCGGGGGCCTAATCCTTCCCCTCCCCCAATCCCTAAATCTCCAGATTCCTAATCCCCAAAAGGTCGGCAACGCACTCGTCACCGTCTTACCATCGGGTAATCCGTAAGCTCGTTTGCCGACCTATCACATAAAAAAAAGGATTTCACCCGTCCTGGGTAGGGTGAGAGGTCTGTCAGACTCTTAGTCAGTAAAAACCACCCTGTTCCTTCTCCTGGTCCAGGCCAAGGCCGTGGTACATTCTTGGGCTTACAGAATATCAACTGAAGTTTTATATTGATCGAGTTTCCGCAATAGTTTTCTTTTATTTTGGTACCGATACCGATTAAATACTTATCTTATTACCTACAATAGTAACGTAGTATGTAACTAGGATAACACGGACAAGGCCAAAAATGTAGGTACCTAAACATTTGGCAATTTTGTGAACAGCTTTAGATACGTATAAAAGGTACCTACATTTTATTTACTTTAGTTAGGTATATAAGATCGTGAAATATAATTAGGTAGGTACTTAACTACGAAGGTACCTAAGTAACTACCTATGGATTTAAAATAAGATAAATTTTTGGTGGCAGTGTTGTGCAAAAAATACAAAGTTTGGTTCATCGTCTCTACAAACAACGGGGAGCACTGTTTATCTAGGTACTTGTGCCTATGTTGAATGACTAGTCAACTAACCTTTTGTCTTATAAAGGCGGGTTTCGGTGTAACACTTGCTAATAAACCCGTATTGCTCATAAGCCCCATAATTCATATTTTTCCATTTAATTTCTACGCGTCTGGAGCTGCTGGGCTACGGAGCCGCGTGCTATCGATCTAACTATCGCCTGGATACCTACGCGGGAAAAAGGCTTTTGATAAATCCCGAAAGTAAAATATTATAATTTATGAAAGAGATTTGCTTGACATTTATTCTGCCAGTTATGGATTGTGGTAGGTAGTCAAAAATATTAAGAAATACTTCAGAATTATTTAGGACCTTTTTACTTGAATGAATAATAAGGATTAAAGCTTAATGGAAACGGTACGCCGCCGCGGCGTAGTATTGTAAAATTAAATACGTACAAACATACATGCACTTTCAAGAGGCTCAAAGCTTCGATGATAAGCGATATCAGAACACTGACGAAGTTAATATATTTATTGTAGTTTCCGCTTCCAGTAACAAAGCGAGGTTTGTGTTTTCCTTGTATTTTTTTTTTATGTAACTTATTTTTAATTAATTGCTATATTACGATACGATGGATTGCACTTACCTATTTAGATATCTGTATCATCGCTCACCATCAGGCGAGATAGTGTCCAATCACTGGCCGATTGCAGATAATAATAAAAAAGGTAGTTTAACACTGAGCAATCGTGAATCGTGATACCTACTCATCACAAGTAGAAAAAATCACTTGAACGTGGAATTGACGGTAAAGGAAACAAAATAAATTGAATTTTTTCACATATATTATTCAAAAAAATTTACACAAAAGCACTAAGACATCCATTTAACCTTATTGTCTAAATAAATGAAGTTTTAAACCGACACGCAACCTCTTAATTAATTAAGATATAATTTGTCTCTAAAAATAATACTCATTTTCTCTTTTTAGACATCAGAAAGTAACTATGGCATTACCAAAATAACACCTACGAAGCGACATTGTGAAAGTTAAATCTAGATAATCAATATAACTTTAGAATTGTCTCTAACAAACGCCTATTTGTTACAAAGGGAATTTATATTACATTTAGTGCAGAGTTATTGAATGTGTACAACGGGCGTTAATTACAACTCTTAAAATTTACAAGAATATTTAACCACTCATTAGTATTATTATTACACAGAATAGAGTCAAGATCAAAATAATTTCAATTGTATAAGTACTTAACTTTGTGTCAGTGTTATTCTACTATTAATATATCTTTAAAACAATATAAACACTTTGTTACGCTACCAAACTCCCTTTATTCCGAAGGCTTTCATTAAGTTAGGGTTAGCAAATAATTATTTGTGTAAACACCCCAAAATAAAGGGAATTTGGCAAGTTTCAGTCAACAATTTAAAGTTGTCGGCTCTCCGACATGTCCCAGGCAATGCAGCTGACCTGTCACCCTACTTTCTCTTTAACACATAAGTGAGAGAGAAAGAAAGTCACACACCAGCACGAAAGACAGGGACCGCTAGTGTTGCCTAATTATACTGTTTATTTACTATTACCCCACTGCGCGTACAAATCATTGAATTTGCAGTGTGCAAGTGGCATTCACTTCTTGGTGATTATGACTGCTAAAATAAATGTTACTGCTGATCATGTAAAACATTGGTTAGTGTTATGCATTTTTAATAGCGAAATAACTTGTGAACGCGTTTGTGAATTATTTTAGTCGTATTGCGTTCTCATTCAAGTACTGTATAAGTTATCATTTTGATCGTGAGGAACGGAAACACGAGCTAATAATTTCGCGGTGGTTCAAGTTAAAATAGACATTAAGGTAAATTGGATATCAGTGAAGTAACTGGGATAAATAAATGCAATGAACATAGCGTTACCCATAATAATAGTGCGGGCCGACATTGGTTATTTTCGCTCATTATACAAAACGCGCGCATTATTCGCGTACCATATTATTAGCAGTCATAACTGAGAACGAATCCCATACAAGAGTGAACATAAAAGAATAAAATGGCATTCAATAAAATATTCCATCACAATCTGTACAAAACGATCTTTTACAACACCAAGGCCATAATCACCTTTCATTACTAATATAGAATTATTGCATTCGGCCAATATCAACATTTGAAGGCAACATATCAATTAGTAACAATTTTCTCACGGCGATACCTCAACCTTATAATTGATATGTGAGTGTAATTAGTTCCACAAACGATTGCCTCTTGTATCGACTTAATCTCTGAATGTTTTATACAGTCACTCCATAAACACACGTCGTTACTTTGAGAGCTAGATAGGTTTTTAAAATATATACTTCTGTTTCAAATGTAAATAATTTAAGTGAATCAGGAGTTCCTTAGGTTTACATAGAGCGATAGTCACTACGGGACAATACGTAAAAGGCAAGTTGATTAGAAGGCAAGTCCACACAGTCCCTACTCTGTCTCTTACTTAAATAACCACTTAAATATATTTAGTTAGATATATTATTATGTCATGAACATAAAAAAGCAATGTAGGTAGTTTACATTGAACGTAATTACTGTAATCATGTGGTCCATTCACATGAATGCTAACCAGCACCCTTATTATTTGCATTATGATTCCATTCGAAAGCTACTGGCGGGCGCTTCGGCTTCCGTTCAGAACCCAATGCGACACATTATTTCTTTTATGTGTCGTCAAGTCACCGACCAGGCTACGCCAGTAGCGATCAAAACTGTTATTTAAAAGTAAATAATTTAATCTAAATAGCCTACGTAAAAACGTGTGACTCTGTATCTCATTCACAAATAAAATTTTAATTATGACTAGTAGGTAAGAAATAAATTTGAGCATGGAAAATAAGCGTAACTACACGACCATGCAACTATAAAAATATTATAAAACTTAAATACTTAAGGTACGGCCCTATCATAAATATAAATTACAAGTATCTTCACATACGAAAACGTCGCTCGTCCGATCTACAGGGCGGCGCGTGAACACTTGGAGAGTCAGAAGAGAGGGTACGCTAGCAGGGGACACTAGGGGCGCGAGGCGCGCGCCGCCTCCTCCAGCGCGCGCACCTTGAGCTCGCGCTCGCGCTGCTGGCGCAGGAAGTCCTCGTGGTGCGCGGGGTGCAGGAACCCGCGCTCGCGCTCCAGCAGCAGCTGGCGCTGCAGCTGCTCGTGCGCCGCCGCCTGCTGCGCCAGCTGCTCGGCGTAGGGCCGGCCCAGCAGGTCGGGGTGCGGCAGCGGCCGGTACGGGCCCAGCGCCAGGGCTGCCTCCTGCTGCGCCTGCGCCGCTGCCTGCTGGCCCGGGTGCAGGTGGAGGTGTGTGTGCGAGTGCGCATGCGTGTGCGCGTGAGTGTGTGCGTGGTACTCCGGGTTGATGCCCGCCATTTGCAGGCGCACCATGGGGTCGGCTGCGAGCGCCAACCTCTCAGCGGCCTCCAGTTGGGCCGCCGCCACCCCGGGGTGTGGGTGGTGCGGGTGGTGTTGTTGTGACATGGTCGTAGGTACGGACTGTTGTTGGCCTCCCGCCGGTGGGATGCCAAGACGTTCGAGCCGCTCACGCTCTAGTTGCGAGAGAGCAGCTGGCCCGTGTCCTGGAGGGTATAGCCCAAATTGGACCGGAATGGCCCCTTGAGGTGGTGGTGGTGGCATACCGTAGCGCCGATGCATCTCCAGCCAGTGCGGATCGAGTGCTCTCGGACCTACGTTGTTTTTCAGTAGCTCTTCTTTAAGTCTGTCATTAAGTTCACGTTCACGAAGTTCTCTTATCTCCCTATCTCGTTTTTCACGTTCTAAATGTTCTAATTCAAGCCGT